TTCACCATGTTGACCAGGATGGTCTCGATCTCTTGACCTCGTGATCCACCCGCCTCGGCCTCCCACAGTGCTGGGATTACAGGCTTGAGCCACCACGCCCGGCGTCTTTCTTCTTTTTGAGATGGAGTCTCACTCTGTTGCCCAGGCTGGAGTGCAGTGGCACGATCTTGGCTCACTGCAACCTCTGCCTTGCAGGTTCATGGGATTCTCCTGCCTCAGCCTCCTGAGTAGCTGGGATTACAGACACATACAACCACGCCCAGCTAATTATTGTATTTTTAGTGGAGACAGGGTTTTGCCATGTTGACCAGGCTGGTCTTGAACTCCTGACCTCAGGTGATCTGCCCACATTGGCCTCCCAAAGTGCTGGGATTACAGGAGTGAGCCACCATGCCCAGCCTATAAGCTGCATTTCTTAGCTTGGCATATGACTCAGGAAGCAGGTACTAGTGCATCTGGGTCACCAAGATTTAATCTGTACCTTTTAAATGTTTTGTTTTGTTTTGTTTTGTTTGTGAAATGGAGTTTTTCTCTGTCACCTGGGCTGGAGTGCAATGGCACAATCTTGGCTTGTTGCAATCTCCGCCTCCCAGGTTCAACCCATTCTCCTGCCTTAGCATCCCAAGTAGCTGGGATTACAGGCATGCACCACCATGCCTAGTTAATTCTTGTATTTTTAGTAGAGATAGGGTTTCATTATGTTTGTCAGGCTGGTCTCAAACTCCTGACATCAGGTGATCTACCCATGTGGACTTCTCAAAGTGCTGGGGCTACAGGGATGAGCCACTGCGCTTGGCCCTTTTTAAATTTTTTTCTAAAAACTTTTTATTGTATTGAGCACTAACCAAATCTAATACACAGAGCTAGGTTCTGGGGACATGTATGATTCAGATGCACCTCCTGCCCTAAGGAATTTTGAGAAGGGAATTTTGCTGTGGTTGAATAAGAGAAGGTTCTAAACTTAACCAATGGAAATGGGACCTGTTTTTAAAATCCTCCTCATGATATGAAATTAGTAGCAAGTAATATTTGGGGACCTAGTGGTAGCTGTTTATTCTTCTCTCTCCTGCATTTGCCCTGTTTATTTTCATCTGGCTTATAGCACTGACAGCTCCCCTGGTGTTTTTGCCTGTGTTCCACCAAAACACTACCCCATTGAAGATTGTGTTTAGCTTGTGACCCAAGCTAGTGAATGATAGTCGAATGGGTAAGAGATGAAAAGAGGGTCTGGGTAGGGGTATGGGGGGCTTGGGACTACAGCAGACATATATTCATTCACCAAAAGGGCCTTCTCATTGACAGTCCCTTACCCTGCATCAGGCTGGTATGCAAGACCAGATCTGATGGGTGAGAATCAGGTGGCATGGAAGAGCTGAAAGAGGATAGCATATGTGGGTGCCTGGGAGATGGGTGAGAGGTACTGGAAGGCGGCATGGAAGGACACTTCCTGCTCAGCCCTTTGACACAGACAGGGACTCTGCAGGGCTCAGGTCCTCTAACATAGCAGCTTCATTCTCACACCAGCAGCATTGGAACCCATGCACAAGTATGCAGACTAAGCTCTTCCTTGGTTGATACGACTCTTGGGGTTTTTAGAGGACATGCATGTATGTTCTCATTCATAGTACATGTACTCAGAAGCCTTACTACCTATTTTTATTAGTAGTTCTGGGCAAACATTACCACTTAGAACTCAGACCATTTAGAAATCATTTGTAAAATGTTACTTAATAAAGCCAACGAACTAAATCATAATTACTTTGCAAGGTTTTCTGAGATCTCTTAAACTAATGAGGTTTGTTTTTTTAATCCCTATTAAGTATTCATCACTGCTAGTAAAAGCAGTTGTTTGTACCTTTAATTCCAGTGATTCCCTTAATTTATTTTTTATTATCTTTGTCTACATTGCCTTAGACAAATGCAGTCACCCTGACTTAAGGAATAAAATTCACATTATCTTCACAGATCACTTGGTAAGAGAGTCTGAGCATGAATAATCTCCAGTGAAATGAAAGTCTTCTTTACTGTTTCATCCTTCCCCTTTTTCATCACCGTGTATCCTGTCATATCTTCCATTTGAATGAATCTATAACTTAGCCTAAACAAAATGGCAGTTCTAGATACCTCTTTTTAAATCAGAGCAGTGTGAACCTATGAATCTTTGTTGGGGAACAGTCTTGTTCTATCACCCAGGCTGGAGTGCAGTGACACGATCTCGGCTCACTGCAGCCTCCAACTGCTTGGGTTCAGCTCATGCTCACCTCAGCCTCCTGAGTAGCTGGGACTACAGGGCACACCCGGCTAATTTTTTTGTATTTTTTGTAGATACGGGGTTTCACCACGATTGCCCAGATTAGTCTCGAACTCCTAGGCTTGAGTGATCTGCCCACCTTGGCTTCCCAAAGTGTTGGGATTACAGGCCTGAGCTGCCACACTTGGCTTGAACCTATGAATTTTTAAAAAGAAAAAAGAACTGGAAGGCGGACTATACTAAGCAGCTAATCTTAGAACCAAAATACTATTGTTTTGTAACTTAAATCTGAATAATGATTTATCAGGCTTGTCAGGTCTCATTCTCTACTCTGGTCCTCATGCATTCTTATTAACATTGTTTACTGATAATATAACTTTTGAATAAATTATAGTTGAGATCATTTTTTAAAAATCTAATTATTTTACAATCACGCTAATAATTTTAGAGACATTCGCCATTCTGATTGATCTTCAGTTGATAGGGGCTGAACTTTTCTGTGGCCTAGCCTTGGTTAAATTCTTTGATGGTTTTCCTGTGAAGAGGAAAACCATCTTGTTTTCTTGTTTTCTTATAACATGGCTTCTGTGAGCCAAGGATGCCTGTTGCTCATTTTAAACTCTCTTATATTACCATAGGTTTCTACTACACTTAGCGGACAAAACTGGTGGCATAATTGTAACAAATGATAATTTCAGAGAATTTGTGAATGAATCGGTCTCTTGGAGAGAAATTATTACAAAAAGGTAATATTTTCTTCTGTTTCTTTGGTCAGAAAAGTTTTGTTTTTAATTGCTTGTTTCTGTGTGCATTTTGTTTGTTTTGTTTTCTGTATTCCTTGGCCCCACAGAAGGCAATATAGGGGACCAAAGTATCATAAGACTGTGCTGTACTCCCAGTTCCTAGGTGGCTGGCCCCTCCAGGTAAGCGGGGGCCCAGTACAGAGCAGAAAGCCAGCTGGCAGTGATGAGCGTGGGCATGCTCTGTTCCCACCACAGCCTTCTAGGACATCAGAGTTTTCTTGCATGAAGCAGGAGCCACAGTTAAGTGTGATGGAGCACTACCGGCCTCCCTAATTTACTCAGCTGTGAAGTGAAAGAGTGAACTTCATGGCAGCTGAGATTCCAGCTCTGAAATGATGTGATTATAGAAAGAGGAAAGGACGGAAAGCAATGTATCCTGACTGGGTTTTCATTTCTTGGTTGTCAGGAGAGAATATTTCTGCTTTTTAAAATCTGATACTTTTCTTGAGGTTTTTACAGTCATAGTTTAGTCATCTATATTGAAAATATCTTTAGATATCCAGAATAAAACAAAATTATGGTCAAGAGTTTCACATTCACTGCCGTTTTTCATTTGTAATAATACTGTGAATGTGTCCACTGCTGAAAAATGCCCTCAGACCAGCAGGCACTGGCTTCTAGGACTTTTTGTTAACAAATATCACCTGACCATTTATTTAAAACAGAAAGCAAGAGTCTGTGATAATGCCAGGGATAAGTCATGTAGGCCAGAAATCTTAAAACATAAAGTAAATAGACCTCACACAACGTATAACTAATATGTAGTATAACTAGCAATATAGCTAGTATAACTAGATATTTATCTCTGTTGGGGTTCCACAGTTGCACCTTGCCTGGTATTTATATTTTCCTAAATTATTAGAAGATTTTTTTTTAAAGATTCTGTGTTATGAATGTCCAGGTGAGAGTTAATTACTGGGCATTTTGGCACCTTATCCTGTTAAAAAGCTGTTGTTGATAACTCAACCAAGAATTGGTCTTTGACCTTCTGGGCACAGTTAATGAGCTGTTAATCTTACAGGGCATGTTTCTGTTGGACCTCTGCCCTGGGCTCATTGTCAGTAGTTACTGGACACTCATCCATGTATGCATGGAGGGTTTAAATGCAGTTAAGACAGGTGCTCTCCAGCCAAGCCATTGCTTTCAGCATTCACAAAAACAAGGCAGAAAAGAGACCTGGACAAACAAGCACAGGCATTTGGACTTTAAAAAATTATTTTATTTTCTGTTTTCCCCTGATAGGATAAATAGTGCTCTAAATGCCTAAGATTGCTTTTATTCATATTTTGTTTTCCTTTTTAAATTTAACATTATTTTCAGTGGGTTTGCTTATGGACACATTTATTACCAGTTTTATTAAAAAATTAAACCTTTGTTCAGCATATGTGTTCTAAGCTGACAGTCTTTAAATTTTATTTGTCAGAATTATATTAAAGTTACAGTAGAAGAAGCTGCTTCCTAAACTCAGTAAAAATCTGGAAGTCTTGATGAGAAATTTAAGGGCTGGCTGATAAAATGTTCTAACTCTATTCTATTTGTGTCCAAAACAGAAAAATTAAAAGGGTTTGACTTGGGTGTTTTTGCCACTTTTAAGCATTTGTGCAATCTTAAGATTTGTAGGCTGACCTGACCGTTGCTTTGGCGTCAGGTTGCTGCTTTGGGATCCTTATGCAGGCCCTGGGCAGTGAGGACCCTGTTTCTCAGCCTCGTGATGTTCTGTGTTACAGGCTGCTGCAGTACACATTTGTGGGGGACATATTTATGGTTCCCGATGATCCTCTGGGAAGAAGTGGACCTCGATTAGAGGAGTTCCTTCAGAAGGAAGTCTGCCTTAGGTATTGCCTTTTTCAGATTGTCTTGTATTAAAAAATCTATTTCAGCTGGGCGCGGTGGCTCAAGCCTGTAATCCCAGCACTTTGGGAGGCGGAGGCGGGTGGATCACGAGGTCAAGAGATCGAGACCATCCTGGTCAACATGGTGAAACCCCGTCTCTACTAAAAATACAAAACATTAGCTGGGCATGGTGGC